AACATGTAACCCTTTCTGTAAGCTGATATTTTGGGGTTATTTGTCGCTACAATATAACTTAGCTGAAGCTGACTAATACACTCCCTAAAACTTTTTATTTGGCTTTGGTAACACTCCTTCTTCATCATTTCAATCAATAAACACTAATCAGTGTCCCACTACATATGAGAGACAACATAGCATAGTGGTTAATAGTACAGACAGGAAAGGCAGACTGGAGAAGCTTTACTCACAGTTTCCAAGTGTCTGGAAGTAACTATAGAGGCCTAATTTGCATATCAACTGGGAACTCCTGGAAATGAGAGTGTCTCCAAGAGATATATTTGATACACGTCCAGAGAATTCCTGAATGAAAGAATCTGGGATTGTCAAGCTGATATCATGAACCCCACATTTAACACAGTTAAGTGAAGAGACGGGACAAAGGCCAGGTTTGGGAAGGAAGGAGAGATCAACAAAGGCCTTACCCAGGGCAGATAAAAATTGATAGAATGGGACAAGCGCATTGGCTCATGCTTGTAATCCCAGCACTTTGGGAGGCCAAGGTGGGTGGATCACTTGAGGTCAGGTTTTCAAGACCAGCCTGGCCAACATGGTGAAACTCGTCTATACTAAAAATACAAAAATTAGCCGAGTCTGTTGGTGGGTGCCTGTAATCCTAGCTACTCAGGAAGCTAAGGCAGGAGAATCGCTTGAACCCAGGAGATGGAGGTTGCAGTGAGCTGAGATCGAGCCACTGCACTCCAGGCTGGGCAACAGAGTGAGACTCCGTTTCAGAAAAGAAAAAGAATGTGGTGGCCGTGCGTGGTGGCTCACACCTGTAATCCCAGCACTTTGGGAGGCTAAGGTGGGCGGATCATCTGAGGTCAGGAGTTCAAGACTAACCTGGCCAATATGGTGAAAACCCACCTCTACTAAAAATACAAAAATTAACCAGGCATGGTAGCAGGTGCCTGTAATCCCTGCTATTCAGGGGGCTGAGGTAGGAGAATTGCTTGAACCTGGGAGGCGGAGGTTACAGTGAGCCGAGGTGGCACCACTGCACTCCAGCCTGGACAACAGAGTGAGACTCCGTGTCAAAAAAAAAAAAAAAAAAAAGGATGTGGTGGGTGTGGGTAGAATGAAATTTCAGGTTTTCTTCTTTAGTCTCTAGTCATTCTCTGACTTCTTTCCGCTTAAGTATTGGCTTCCCAGCTTTTAGTCGTCATTCTCTTCTCTCTACCCTCCCACAAAACAAACTCATCTCCTCTATGTCTTTGACACAGGTAGTAATAGTTAACATTTACTGAGTGCTTACCATGAGTAGGGCACCGTGCTAAGTACTTTATATCCGTTATCTAATCTGATACTCACAGTGATCCTGTGCAGTGGGTATTGGCATCCTGATTTTGCGAAGAGAAATTGAGGCCCAGCAGGGTTAAGTGACTTGCAGTGTCACATAAGGTGCTTTGGGCAGTGGGTATCAGAATACCGACATCGATGCGGCTTGAACATTAGGGGTTCATCTCTCATCACAAGAAGTGTGGAAGAAGGTGACATCTGAGTTGCTTAATTCAGCAGCTCAGTGATGTCAGACCCTAGGTCAGCTTCCCTCTGAGTCTCGCAGCTCTCCCCTCCTGCTCCCAAGATAGCTGTTACATTTTAAGCGCTGCATCATCCCTGAGCCATGCAGGAAGGGGGTTTTTCTTCTTGTGGATCCCTTTTTCCTGGAAAGCAAAGCCTCCCACAAAAGCCCCCAAGAGAATTTCCTATAGGACCCTATCTCCTCTCCCCCTTTTTTCTTTCCTTACCCTCTTGAGTTGTAACTCCAGCCAGACTGACCCTCTTTCAACTCTGTACCAAACAGAAGTCTTGGTGGCAAACCTAAGCAGCGAAGGAATGTATTGAATACTGTGAGGTTCTCACCAATTCCAAACATGAGTAGGAACCAAAAGTAATTAGGCTAAGAACACAGCCAAAGACACGGCACAGTAAAAGCCTACCTGCACAGCCACCACTGTCCATGGTCCCCCCACTGTGGCTGGACTCTCACCTCCCCACCAAGAACAGGCCCTGTCCCTTCCTCTCTCTCCCTCAAGAGTCAAAGTCCTGGGTAGGACATCCCACTGGCCAAGCCTGGTCGCGTGCTAACTCCCCTGTTGCCAAGAAGGCAGGCAAGAGTCTGCCCTTTCAGCTTCTTCAGGGTGGCTCTGTTTTTCCCCAAGTTCCTTGCAGTAAAGGGTTTCCACAACACAAGAGGGGTGTTCCTCTGCTGAATATCACAGTTCCCCTCAACTTTCTATAATCTTTCGTTCTTTTTATTTTCCCCTCCGGAGACAGGGTCTTGCTCTATCCCTCAGGCTGGAGTGCAGTGGCGCAATCTCAGCTCACTGCAACCTCCCAGGTTCAAGTGATTCTCATGCCTCAGCCTCCCGAGTAGCTGGGATTACAGATGTGCACCACCATACGTGGCTAATTTTTGTATTTTTAGTAGAGATGGGGTTTCACCATGTTGGCCAGGCTGGTCCTGAACTCCTGACCTCAGGTGATCTGCCCACCTCGGTCTCCCAAAGTGTTGAGATTACAGGCGTGAGCCACCACGCCTAGCCTCTTGTCCTAATCTTTCTTGACTCCAGACCTTTGCACATGCCATTCCCTTTGTCTAGAATACCCTTCTTCCCTCTCTTCTCTAAGCAAATCCTCCTGGTTCTTAAGGTTTCGTCTCACTTCCACATCATTTCCCCTCAAATCTGAGCTAGGGGCTCCTCTATTGTATTATTACTGAAGCCTGTACCTTCCCCAGCACAGCCTCCATCAATGTCTTGTTTTTTTTCCCCCGTTGACTGCAAGTTCTGTAGAAGTGGAGAGTTTTCTTTCTCTTTTTCTTTTTTTCTTGAGATGAAAAAGAAAAAAAGGGTGACTCTAGCTCTGTCACCCAGGCTAGAGTGCAGTGGTGCAATCTCAGCTCACTATAACCTCTGCCTCCCAGGTTCAAGCGATTCTCCTGCCTCAGCCTCCTGAGTAGCTGGGATTACACGCATGTGCCACCACACCTGGCTAATTTTGGTATTTTTAGTAGAGATAGGGTTTCACCATGTTGACCACGCTGGTCTCAAACTCCTGACCTCAGGTGATGTGCCTGCCTCGGCCTCCCGAAGTGCTGGGATTACAGGTGTGAACCACCGCGCCCAGCCCAAAGTGGAGAGTTTTCTAAAGGTGGAAATCTTACTTTTGTTTTGTTTTTAGAGACAGAGTCTTGCTCTGTCACCTGGGCTGGAGTGTAGTGGCCTAATTATAGTTTACTGCAGCCTCAACCTCCTGCTGCAAGTGATTCCCACACTTCAGCCTCCCAAGTAGCTAGTGTAAGAGTTAAGAAAGAGGAAAGAAACACGTGGTGTCTGTTAACTTTCCAGGAATTAGGTTAACTTGCCTTGAAGGGAGTGTCTGGTGAAGAAGCCGGTAAAATTTCTTCTTTAGAAGAATCGAGACCATCCTGACTAATACGGTGAAACCCCGTCTCTACTAAAAATATTTTAAAAATTAGCCAGGCGTGGTGGCGGGCACCTGTAGTCCCAGCTACTCAGAAGGCTGAGGCAGGAGAATGGCGTGAACCCAGGAGGCGGAGCTTGCAGTGAGCCGAGATCGTGCCACTGAGCTCCAGCCTGGGCGACAGAGCGAGGCTCCGACTCAAAAAAAAAAAAAAAAGAGAGAGAGACCACAGCTGAAGGGATAGCAAATTCATCACTAAGATGTAGAAAATGAGTTGCTAGGAGCCGTGGGGAAGCATATGGTTTCATTACACACTCTTAACTAAAGGTTCAAAGAGGCCCTCGGGGCTGGATGAAACTTTCACATACCAAAAAGCTGTAGAAATTATTTCCCTATCCAAGAGGGTAATCGCTTTTGAGAAAAACTATCTTTTCCTGACTTTGAAAGGTTAACGTTTTTCTTATTATAAAGGTAAAACTTGTTTTAAACTTATTAAGAATGTACTATAGAACTTTTAAAAATAAAATGTACAAAGCAGAGGTGCTCCTCTAATCACACTACAGAACGGTCTCCACTTGTAACAAACAAAATAGGGATTTTTTTTTTTTTTTTTTTTTTTTTTTTTTTTTTTTTTAGGGACGGAGTTTCACTCCTGTTGCCCAGGGTGGAGTGCAATGGTTCAATCTCGGGTCACTGCAACCTCCGCTTCCCGGGTTCAAGCAGTTCTCCTGCCTCAGCCTCCCAAGTAGCTGGGATTACAGGCATGCGCCACCACTCCCAGCTAATTTTGTATTTTTAGTAGAGATGGGGTTTCATCATGTTGGTCAGGCTGGTCTGAAACTTCTGACCTCAGGTGATCCGCTTGCCTCGGTCTCCCAAAGTGCTGGGATTATAGGCGTGAGCCACCGCGTCTGGCCAAAATTCGGATTTTGTTGTAACTGCAATTTTGTATCTTGCTTGGCGAACATTTTCCTGCATGATACAATTATCTTATACAACAGGGGTATTCCAGGATACAAATGTGTTGTAATTTATTTAATTGCCTTTATTTTATGGCTTGTCTCGGGCTTTTGGGCTAAGTGTTGCAATTAACATCTTTGTTACACGAATCTTTTACTCGTATCCTTGATTTTACCCATTGAATTCGTGGAAGTGGAATTGCCGGACCAAAGAGTATTTGAAACATATTGCCAATTTGTCTTCTAAGAGTGATTTTACCCATTTAAACTCCCACGCGCAATCTTATAGGATTTCGATGGAGTTGCTGGTGTCATCAACCGTCAAACGACGAACTATACCTTTCCGCCAGACCTCCTGTCCTCCTTCGCGTTTTCCCGCCCACTCCGCACACCCGCCGCCCTCAGTCCATGCTGGCCCGCCCCTTCCTTAACACGCACCAATTCTGTCCAATCAAAAGCAAACTTCCTCAGTATCGCCGTGCAGTTGGTAAGGTGAAGTGTCCGTCGTGCCCAGGGGCGGGTGGAACGGGCTGACGGACGCGGCGATGGGCCAGTGTGAGCGGTGAGTGGGACGTGCGTGGCGTGCGTGCGTTGGCCTGGGAAGCCCTGGACTTGTGAGGTGTGCGAGCTGGTAGCAGTGAGAGACTTCGGCGGACATGGCTCCCAGCGTGCCAGCGGCAGAACCCGAGTATCCTAAAGGCATCCGGGCCGTGCTGCTGGGGCCTCCCGGGGCCGGTAAAGGCACCCAGGTGAGCGGCAGGACTGGGCTTGGCGGCGGAGCCTGCCCAACTCCAAGGTCAAGGCGGCCAGAGATCCAGAAGCCCTGGACCTGCCTGGAGCCGGCCGGGCACTGAGGCCTGCGGGGAACGCTGGCCGGGGTCTCGGTTCTGGTGAGGCATTTCGGGGAGGGTCCAAATTGGAGATCGGGACAGTCTGAGTTAGGATTGGAGTGCGCGAGGGATTCAGTGTTGAGGTGTTGTGTTAGGGAATCTAAGGGCCGATTAGTTCCACTAAGGGGCTGGAGACTGGAAAGGTTTGAGGGGTAGAGTGAGCCCTGGGCCGAAGCATCTAGACTACAGGCTGAATGGAGGCAATTAGCTTTATGGCCCAGGTTCCCTGCGAGTTGGAGGTGAATTGTCCAGAATCAGGGTTACATTCCAGGCACTGGAGGTCGGGAGATTTTGATAATGATTTATGACTTAGGGGGAGGGGAGGAGGAGCATCTCCAACACGTGGGGCGGAGAGCTGACATGTGCTGTGTGAGCCAGTTGAATAGAGATGGGAGGAAACCTAAGGCTCCCCCTGTTTGAAAGTTGCAGGTTAATGTGTAGAACTGGTTTATAGCCTGGAGAGCCATGAGTCGCACTTTGAGTAGTGTCCACAATAAGGGTTGGGAGTGCTCATGGGACCTGGCTTGGAGTTAGGACCTGAGGCTACTGAGGCTAAGCAGTTTGGGATGACTCAAATGATTTTAGATGAGAAGGAACTTGAATTTTTTTTATTTTTTATTTTATTATTTTTGTTTGTTTATATCTTCTTTCCCTTTGGTTTTTAATTTTTTTTTTTTCCTTTTTAAAAAAATTTTGTTGTTGTTTGTTGTTGTTGTTTATAGGGAACTTGAAATTTTAACTTTATCAATCAACAGGTTAAAAAACAGGCCCAGAAAGGTCAGGTGACTTTCCCAAGTTAGTGAAATGAGTTTCATGAGCCTGAGACCTCAGGAGCCATGGAGTTAGAGTCTGAAGTTACCGTCTGCCCTAACAGGCAACAGGGGCCTCACTTGGCATCTGGGCCCCTTCTAGATCTGGGACATAATGGGGCCATAGGTTAGGGTTGGGATCAATGATCTCATTTAGGATCTGGAAGCCCATAGGTTGGATTATCGATGTCCCCTTCTTGCTTGGGGTCTGGCATGGCCCCTGGGGCCCTAACCCTCTGTCTCTTGCCTGTTGTTAGGCTCTAAAGAGGGAAGTCAGCTCCCAAATGAAAGGGAACCTGGGGACTGCCCTATGCCCGCTTTTCTCCTCCTAGCACTTGCCAAGTTTAAAAAATCTTGGCAAACAGACCATCTTACTCATTCTTGGTACCCCCTGTGGCACATTACTTGTCTCTTGGGGGGTTAGTGGAAGCAGATGAATGTCACAGATTAATGTGGGTGTTAAGGAAAGAAGTTCTGGAACACTTCATTCATTCCTGTGACCTGGGCACTAGGTCAGAAAAGACAATTTTCTTTTCTCTCCACAGACTGAGATGATTCTTCTTTGGAGCTTACCTGTACCTGATCCCTTTATCCTTTATCCTCAGCATTGTTGACATCTCTTTCCCATTGCTGCCACACTTATTTATTGGGTAATCTGCAGCTTCGGGATGTTTAATCTTAGACTTTGCAGACTTTTACTGTGAGTGATCAAATATAATCAGAGTAGCTCAAATGCTTCGTTGTTTTTCTTTTCTTTTCTTTCCTTTTTTCTTTTCTTTTCTTTTCTTTTCTTTTGAGACAGGGTCTCCCTCTGTTGCCCAGGTTGGAGTGCAGTGGTGTGAGCTCAAGCGATCCTCCCACCTCAGCCTCACAGGTAGCTGGGATTACAGGCACATGCCACCATGCCCAGCTGATTTTTAAACAATTTTTTATAGAGACAGGGTCTTGCTATGTTGCCCAGGCTGGTCTTGAACTCCTGGACACAAGTGATCTTCCTGCCTTGGCCTCCCAAAGTGCAGGGATTATAGGCACAAGCCACTGTGCCCTGAGATTTTTTTTCCTTAACTCATATTGAAGTTAATAATTTCAGTAATTATGGAATGAACAACCTGTCCTAGTATAGTACTGGTACAAGGGTTTTATAATCTAGCAAGCTGTGTAACTTCTGAGCCTCAATGTTCTTACCTGAAAAATGGGGATAATACCTACCTTGCTCATTCAACATTTCATGAGCACCTAACATTGGAGATAAAGCATCGGGCAAGACTGATAAAGTTCCTGCCCTCATCAACTAAACATTCACAACGATACTGGAAGATTATGATATATATATGTGTGTGTGTGTATCAAGCACCCACAACCTAGATGACAACCTGTTATATAGTAAGTACTCAGTAAATTTTGACTCCCTTTTATCTTAGTAACACATCTCCCCTCCCCTCCTTCAACTTGGATGTATTTCAGTGTAAGACATGATTTATCAGGAAGTTTAGAAGAACATTATATTAATGAGTTGATTGATAAGGGTGCATGATGGTGAGAGTTGGTCAGAGAAGGCTTTTTAGAAATAGAGGAGATGTGATTAGAGCTGGGAGTTGAAAGGATAAGATTTACACAAGTCATTTAACCTCTGTACACTTTCCAGAGTTGGAACAATAGGAATATTGGTGGTTGTATGTATTTTTGTGGAGTTTTAAAAAAAGTTCAAGCCTGGGCAACGTGGCGAAACCCCATCTCTACAAAAAAATGCAAAAATTAGCTAGGCATGGTAGTGCATGCCTGTAGTCCCAGATATTCAGGAGGCTGAGGTGGGAGGATCACTTGAGCCTTGGAGGCAGAGGTTGTAGTGAGCTGAGATCTCACCATTGTGCTCCAGCCTGGGCAACAGAGTAAGACCTTGTCTCAAAAAAAAAGATCATAAATCAGAGGTTGCAAATGGTAGCCTACAATAACATGTAGCCTGCAGAGACATTCCATACACCTTAACTTTTTATTATGAAGAATGTTGAATACACAAAAGAAGACAGGATGGTATAATGAGCCCTTACCCAGCCCCAACCATTAACTGGTGGTCATTGCTTCTCCAGCCATTCTCCCTTCACAAATTATTATAAAGCACCTCCCAGGCATCATAACATTTCATTTGTAGATGTTTTAGTATGTATTGCTAAAAGATAATTTTTTAAAACATAAGCATAATGTCCTTTAAAAAATTAACAATTTTTATTCAGATTTTCTTTTGTGTTACCAATGTGATCATTTTACGTTTCTTTTGTTTATTTATTTTTTTATAGGCAAGGTCTTGCTCAGTTGCCCAAGCTGGAGTATAGTGGCCCAATCATAGCTCATGGCAGCCTCAATCCTCCCACCTCAGCTTCCTGAATAGCTGGGATTATAGGTGCATGCCACCATGCTGGCTAACTTTTCTAGTGTTTTAAAGATGGTGGTCCTGCCATGTTGCTCAAGCTGGTCTTGAACTATTGGGCTCCTCCCTCAGCCACCCAAGTAGCGGGGACTACAGGCATGTGCCACTGTGCCCATCCTTTCTTTTAATTTATAAGTTCCCCTTCTCTCTTTTTTCTTATGGTTTTGCCAAAGAAATGGGATTATTTTTCCTGGGTGTATTATACCACTGTCTGGAAATTTTCAGTTGTATTTCTCTGGTGTACTTAACATCTTCCTCTGCCCTCTCTATTCCCTGTAAATTGGTGGTTTATTCTTAATTACTATATACTTAATTCAATTCAGGTTCAATTTTTTGGCCCAACTACTTCACAGGTGGCGGGTGCTGTGCTCTCCCTGAGGAGGCACATGGTATTTGCTTGTCTCTGTGGTGTTTATAGTCATGCTGTTCAGTGTCTAGGTTCAGTAATTCATTATGGATGGTGAAATGGTGGTATTCTAATAATTTTATTGTTCCCTGGTCATTTATTAGCTGAAATATTTCTATAAACAGAAACTTCCCCTCATCTACTGTTTGGTTACCCTGTGATGTGGTTGGTATAGAAAAGTCAGGATAAATGCTTCATTTATTCTCTTTGTCAGCTTTCAAAATAGTAAGTTGACCACAGAGCGTTTTCAGTTATGCAATTTCTCTTAAAAATCCAGAGCTCCAGTTTCTCTTGAGAAACCAGAAGACCTGGCAGTGATGCCTCCATTCCAGTGTGGCAGCAGTCACTTGCAGTTGTATGGCATTGCTGCTTTGGATGGTCTGTGTGTCTTCCTGTCCCCTGCACGGTCCTCTTCACTGCCTGTTGCTTACATTTGACTCATTTCACATAGTTGCATTGCCTGCTTGGCTCCCATTGGCAGATGTTTGCAATCTTACATGAAAAATCCCTAACCTGGGGTTAGTGCCTAGTGCCTGCTCAGTAATGTTTGTTTTCTTCTTGCTATACTTTGTTATACCTGCGTAACTCAGTATTTTATATGCTTTATGTTGCATGGCTGAAATAGTTTCCTTTTAAAACTCCTTACTTTTAACTAAAGTAGTTAAATATTTCAAAACTACCCGCTTATGCATCAATGTAATGTTTTAAAACATCTATAATACCTGGGTTTGTTGTTTTATTTAAATAACTTTATTTCCTTGCCTCCCTTTTGGGGTTGGATGTTCCTTCGGTGTGGTCAAAACCAAAGGTATGTTTCTTGTTTTTCTTTTTTGCCAGCGCCTCCTCATTTCTTCCATGTGTCAAACTTATGCCCAATTCTTCGAGGCCAGGCACGCTTAGGCAGTCTTATGGGTCAGACGCATCCATTATGTCTTTGCAGTGATACTCGCAACAACTCTGAGACCCACACTCTTATTTCCCCTTTTACAGTTGGAGAAACTGAAGTTTGAATGGCTTGTTCTCTAGGCTACATAGCAAGTAATTTACAGAGCTTGCATCTGAATGACTCCAAAGCTCCTGCTCTTTCTGCTGCTATCTACTGCCCCAGGTTAGATTTTTCTCCTACCCTATGCATGTCAGGAGGGAGTAATAATTTCAACATAGTCACCCATTGCTCAGTTATGTGACAGGCCCCCAAGCTAAAGATTTTACATGCATCATCTCATTTAATCCTGTAACACTAGGAGAGAGATCCTTTTTACTGACAGAGAAACTGAGGCTCAGAGGCTGTATCTTGCCCCAGGACACACATGTAGTAAGTAGCAAAGGTAGGATTTGAACTCATGTCTGTCTGACTCTTGAGTAGTCATTATTTTACATTGTTGCTGTGTAATCTAGATGCAGAGGCAGAAATGAATATGAATGGAAAAATACATACAAATGCAGGGTGCCAGGTGGGAAGCATCAGATGAGTGACTTTGATGAATGTTGGGTTAGTTCAGGAATAAAACAAGAACTACAATTTGCTGAAGGTCTCCCGTTCATCCTCCTGTTCACCCAGTGAGGCTGCTAATGATTTCTCCAATAAGTTAAGAGACAGCTGAAATGCAAATACAGGTTTCTGGGATTAAAAAAACAAACAAAAAAAAACTTAAGCTATAAGATACCTAGAAAAAGGTGCAAATATCGTAAGTGAACAGCTTGATTTATTTTACAATGTGAACACATTTGTGTAGCTTACACCCATTGTCAAGAAACAGAATATTGCCAGCACTTTGAAGTCCTCCTTGTGCTCCCTTCCAGGAGGATAGCCACTAAGGCTCTGTGGGTTGTTTGTCTTAAAGCCTTATAGTGTCATGGCTAAGAGCTAGGGCTTGGTGATCTGGCCTGTTGCCAGTTCTTTTACTAGCTCTGTGATCTTGGGCAACTTAGTCCCTGAATTTCATCTGTAAAATGCAGTTAAAAATCGTTTCTACCTCATGGGTTTGTTATGTATTATGCATACTAAGTACCGTAAAACAGTGCATGGAAAATTGCTTGGCATGATGCAGATGCTGAAAGTTAGTTAATGTTAATATGATTCCTCAGCGGGAGAAGGGGTAGTTGGGGAGGTGTTTTTGTTTTAAGAGACAGGGTCTCACTCTGTCACTCAGGCTGGAGTGCAATGGCACGGTCATAGTTCATTGAAGCCTCGAACTCCTGGGCTCAAACGGTCCTCCCAACTCAGCCTCCTAAGTAACTGGACTACAAGTACCTGCCACCATGCCCAGCTAATTAAAAAAAAAATTGTAGAAATGGGGTATGACTGTGTTGCCTGGACTGGTCTCAAACTTTTGGCCTCAAATGATCCTCCCAGAGTGCTGGGATTACAGACATGAGCCACTGCTTCCAGCCCAGTTAGGCTTTCGATGGGAGAAATGTACTCAGAAGTGTAGTACAGAAAAGACTTAGACCAATATTGGAGCAGAGAGGGCATTCCTGTGGAGTGAGGAGCTTGAGTTGAGGCCCTTGGAGAGGCATTTATGCTATGTATTTGGGAACCATGCATAAGAGCAGTTTGTCTGCAGTGATGCAGTACGTAAACACAGGGCACTTGTGGAAGTAAGTTGGGAGGGCTTGGCAGGTTTTAGAAGTTGATTGTGGAGGACAGCTGAGTGCCAGGCTAAGATATTTGGGCTCTTCCCCTATTGCACCACAGAGATGTTGAAGGCTTTGGAATGTATATGTGTTGGGGGGCAGGTAGCATATCCAACAGTGTTTTAAGATATCAGATGAGTGACTTTGATGAATGTTGGGTTAGTTCAGGGATAGAACAGGAACTACAATTTGCTCAAGGTCTCCCATTCACCCTCCGATTCTAGCTGCATGTGTAGGAACATTGATAGCAGCAATGACAAAGACTGGAGGCACAAAGGTGATCGTGCCAGGCACAGTGGTATGCGCCTATAGTCCCAACTACTCCAGAAGCTGTGGTGGGAGGATTGCTTGGGCACAGGAGTTTGGGGCTGTAGTGTGCTATGCTGATCAGGTATCTGCACTAAATTCAGCATCAGGCTGGGTACGGTGGCTTGCGCCTATAATTCCAGCACTTTGGAAGGCTGAGGCAGGCAGCTTGCTTGAGCTCAGGAGTTGGAGACCAGCCTGGACAACATGACGAAACCCCATCTCTACAAAAAATACAGTAATTAGCTGAGCATGGTACTACATGCCTGTAGTCCCAGCTACCTGGGAGACTAAAGCAGGAAAATTGCTTGAGTCCAGGAGTTTGAGGCCACAGTGAACTATGAACATGCCACTGACTCTAGCCTGGGCAACAGGCAATAGAGTGAGACCCTATCTCAAAAAAAAAAAAAAAAAGTTCACCATCAATATGTTGACCTCCCAGGAGCAGGAGACCACTAGGTTGCCTAAGGAGAGGTGAATCGGCCCAAGTCAGAAAAAGAACAGGCCAAAAATCCCATGCTGATGTGTCGTGGGCTAACACTTGTGAAGCCACTGTGCTCCACCCTGGGCAATATAACAAGACCTCATTTCTTAAAAAAACCTAAGGAAAAGATGATGGTTGCAAGATGAGAAGACAGGTGAATTTGGGATTAAACCAAATCTCTAGGACTGATAGTTTTCCTTTATTTCCTAATTGTCAGGCCTATGCTGGATGTTTTTGCATATATAATCTTATTAAATCCCCTCAACAGTTCTGCAGATAGACACTGTTTTCTGTTCTATGGATAAAGAAACCGAGACCTTAGGAAAGGTAACGTAATTTGTTCAGGATGACGCAGTGAATAAACAGTAGAGCCCGTTTCCTAACCCAGATCTGTACCGCTACAAAACTCAGTCTCTGCCACTACATCAGGGCTTCATAAGCTGTATATGCATCAGAACCTGAGGTGCTGCTTGAGAGCCACTCAATCATAAACTTTAAAGGTGGGCCTAGCAAATGCCCCAGATGATTGATAATACACTGAAATTTGAGAACCACTCAGCCCACCATGCTGTCTCTCTAGTGGTTTTAGCATTCCCATCAATTATCCCAGAGTCCTCCACCCCACAGAGTTTTCATAGAGGTGATGAGCCTGTTTCTTGGGCTCAGCAACAGTCTTTGACTCACAGCAACAGACTGTGACTGAGTGTGGACTTCAGACCCCTACTCTTCAAAGTGTAGTTTAGAGCCTAGCCACTTATCCAGGCCGGGAAGTTTGCTTGAAATGCAGGTACTTAGGCTGTACCCTATTGAACCAGAGTCTGCATTTTTTTTTTTTTTTAAGACGGAGTTTCACTTTTGTTGCCCAGGCTGGAGTGCAATGACCCGATCTCAATCTCAGCTCACCACAACCTCCGCCTCCCGGGTTCGAGCAGTTCTGCCTCAGCCTCCCTAGTAACTGGGATTACAGGAATGTGCCACCACGCCTGGCTAATTTTGTATTTTTAGTAGAGACGGGGTTTCTCCATGTTGGTCATGCTGGTCTTGAACTCCCAACCTCAGATGATCTGCCTGCTTTGGCATCCCAGAGTGCTGGGATTACAGGTGTGAGCCACTGTGCCCGGCCGGAATCTGCATTTTAACAACATTCCTCCAGTGATTTAGAATCTGTGAATGGCTGCTCTAAAGCATAAGTTTGAAGTGTGAGGGCACTATAATAAAGTTATTTCATTAAGTTTCTGTAGTCTGTAAATAAAGAGTAATGCAAAGAAGAAAGACTATGGAAAGGAGCCGTTTATTTATTGAATACCTACTGCATGTCTGATGTTTTTGGTACTTTATTTCATTTATCCTCATAAAAACCCTGTGAAGTAGTCATTATCCCCATTCAACTGATGAGGAAACTGACACTCTGAGAAGTTAAGTACTGAGCCCAAGATCACACAGCTACTGAGTGCCTTAGCTAGGAATCAAGCATAATTATCTGTCTGACTTTGAAACCCATACATGCTCTTTACAGCCTACCACACTGACTCCCAGGCAACAAGCAGGAAATGAAAGAATTAGTTTTCTTTTCTTTTTTTTTTTTTTTTGAGACGGAGTCTCACTCTGTCACCCAGGCTGGAGTACAATGGCATGATCTCGACTCACTGCAACCTCCATCTCACGGGTTCAAGCAGTTCTCTGCCATGGCCTCCTGAGTAGCTGGGATTACAAGTGCCCACCACCACACTCGGCTAATTTTTGTATTTTTAGTAGAGACGGGGTTTCACCATCTTGGCCAGGCTGGTCTTGAACTCCTGACCTCAGGTGATTCACCTGCCTCAGCCTCCCAAAGTGCTGGGATTACAGGCATGAGCCACTGTGCCCAGCCAGGAATTAGTTTTCTTCCCTATTGGTGTGTGTTCTTTCATCCAGCTGTAGAATCCAATCACCTGGAACAGTGCATAAGAGTCCTGCAGTTTGGGAGTGACAAAAATAGAACAGGTTCTGTGCTAATAGCTCTTCTCTGGTGTTTTGGTCAGCCTTTCCACTTGAGCAAGCCTGACCTCCAAATTGTTTACCCAGGTTAATTTCAACAGCAATGAGAAAGATTGGCAGAAAGCACTCTCTGGATATATGGCCACAGTGCTAGCCTGGTTTTTCATTGTCAGGGCTCCTGACATTCACTGGTTTTGCAAAGTACAGAATTTTGGTGGTGTTTTGTTTTTTTTGTTGTTTTTTTGGGGTTTTTTTTGAGACGTAGTCTTGCTTTTTCGCCCGGGCTGGATCTCGGCTCACTGCAACCTCTACCTCCTGGGTGCAAGCAGTTCTCCTGCCTCGGCCTCCCAAGTAGCTAGGATTACAGGTACATGCCAGGAAGCCCAGCTGATTTTTGTATTTTTAATAGAGATGGGATTTCACCATGTTGGCCAGGCTAGTCTCGAACTCCTGACCTCAGGTGATCCGCCCGCCTTGGCCTCCCAAAGTGCTGGGATTACAGGCATGAGCCACCACGCCTGACCCAAAGTACAGAGTTTTTAATGCCTTCTCTCTAGATTCCATTTTGCTACGAAGTCATTTCTTTGCTTTAACTGAATCAGTCCGTGAATCAGAAACCAACCCTATCTATGTACCTTTTATTGTGTGCACCTAAGCATGCACCTAAGAAAACTCCCAATTATATAAAAATTAGTCAGGCATGTGGCGTGTGCCTGCAATCCCAGCTACTGGGAGGCTGAGGCAGGAGAATCACCTGAGCCCAGGGAGTTTGTGGCTGCAGTGAGCCATGATCGTGCCACTGCACTCCAGCCTGGGTGATAGAGTGAAACTGTCTCAAAAAAAAAAAAAAAAAGAAAAGAAAAGAAAACTCCCAGTGAACTGATTTGTTTGAATCGGGATCTAAACCTACTTAGTTTATAAAACAATTGGACGGAAAAAGCTAAGATTGATCTCCTTGAACTGATTTTATTCCTTGTGAATTCTGCATTCTTTTTTTCCCACTGCAAAGCCAGTGTTGAGCTGTCTAGGGTCTCTCCCTGTTTTAATTCTGCATTCTCATATATAGTTCACCAAATATAAGCTCTTTAAGAACATAGTCTATGCCTTTTATTCATCTGTTTCCCAGGCTCCCAACCGGGTTCTTGGAAAAGGCATTAGTAAATGTTTTCTTTCTGTATGAATGAACGTAGGATTAGGACAGGGGTTATGGTAACAGCCAGTGCCCACGGAGTGCTTACTATGTGCCAGGGCCTGCAAATACTGAATTCTATATAATCTCATCAACCCAGTGATATAGATACTATTACCATCTCCATTTTACTTAGAGGAAATTTGAAACTTAGAAAGGTGAAGTGACTTCTTAAGTCAATTTTACGTAATAGTTAGTGGATGTGGAGTCTGAAAACCAGGCAGTTTAACTCTCAAGCCTATGCTCTGGACCAAAATGCTATAATGCCTTCTAAAACTAGTATGTAAGTGCTTATTATATGCCAAGTACTCCTTGTATATATCTCAGCTAATCCTCACAGCTACCTTATGAGATGAAGCCTTTTTTGCCTTCATTTTAAACAGATAAGGAAACTGAAAAGTGAGGTGGCCAAGATAATACAGCTGCTTAGTGACAGGGAAGGGGGAAAACCCAGTTCTGCCTGGGGGCAAACAGCTCGTAGTTGCGTCCCTGACCCAGTAACTGTAGTACATGGCAGTTACACATTCATCCCTTTGCAAATGTTTATTCAGCACATGTTAATGTGCCAGGCAGTGTGCCGAGTACATTATATACATGACCTCATTTAAACCTCACAGCAACCATGCGAAGTGTTGGTACTATTTTTATTCTTCTTCTTTTTTTTTTTTTTTTTTTTAAGATGGAGTCTCACTCTGTCACCTAGGCTGGAGTGCAGTAGTGCAATATTGCCTCACTGCAACCTCTGCCACCCAGGTTCAACCGATTCTCCTGCCTCAGCCTCCCAAGTAGCTGGGATTACAGGTGCCTGCCACTGCGCCTGGCTACTTTTGTATTTTTAGTAGAGATGGGGTTTTACCATCTTGGCCAGTCTGGTCTTGAACTCCCAACCTCAAGTGATCCACCTGCCTTGGCCTCCCAAAGTGCTGGAATTACAGGCGTGAGCCACAGCGCCAACCCCCCTGCCCTTTTTTTTTTTCTTTCTTTTCCTTGAGACGGAGTCTTACTGTCGCCCAGGCTGGAGCTGGAGTGCAGTGGTGCAATCTCGGTTCACTGCAACCTCTGCCTTCCAGATTCAAATAATTCTCCTACCTCAGCCTCCTGAGTAGCTGTAATTCCAGGCACACGCCACCACACCCAGCTAATTTGTGTATTTTTAGTAGAGACAGGGTTTCACCATGTTGGTCAGGCTGGTCTCAAATTTCTGACCTCGTGATCCGCCCACCTCAGCCTCCCAAAGTGCTAGGGTTACAGGTGTGAGCCACCGTGCCTGGCAAGTCTTCCCATTTATAATAGGGAAACTGAAACTTACTTGTCACTAGTGTGTTGAGTGGAAATAGTGATAATAGCTAATATTTATGACTGCTTCCTGTGTGCTAGTTGTACTGTTTCAAGTGCTTTACATATATTATCTCATGTAATTCTTACAATACCCCTATAATCATTGTACGTTAGATTGTAACATAAGGTGCTTTTATCCCCATTACAGGTAAGGAAGTAGGCATTTGCCCAAATTTACATAGCCAGTAAGTTGCAGGGCCAGGTTCACACCTAGGTAGTCTGACTCCACAGCCTGTAATGTAACTGAATCTTGGTTTTTGTCTTCCTCTCCATAGGCACCCAGATTGGCTGAAAACTTCTGTGTCTGCCATTTGGCTACTGGGGACATGCTGAGGGCCATGGTGGCTTCTGGCTCAGAGCTAGGAAAAAAGCTGAAGGCAACTATGGATGCTGGGAAACTGGTAGGTTTGGTGGTACCAATGAGTGTGGACATTCCTCAGAATCTAGATCTGCACTGTCCAATATGGTAGCCACCAACCACAGGTGGCTATTTAGATTAATTTAAATTTAATTAATGTAAAAATCAATTCCTCAGTTGCACTAGCCATATTTCAAGTATTTACCAGCCTTCACTGGTACAGAACTTTCCATCATCAAACAAAATTCTCTTGGACAACCATGTGCTAGAGGGTGTTTTAACAAAGTGGCAGATTATAGGAATTTTATTTATTTATTTATTTTGAGACAAAATCTCACTCTGTCACCGAGGCTGGAGTGCAGTGGCGCCATCTTGGCTCACTGCAACATCTGCCTCCCGGGTTCACTCCATTCTCCTGCCTCAGCCTCCTGAGTAGCTGGGACTACAGGCGCCCGCCACCACACCCGACTAATATTTTTGTATTTTTAGTAGAGACGGGGTTTCACCAAGTTGGCCAGGCTGGTCTCAAACTCCTAACCTCAGGTGATCCACCTGCCCTGGCCTCCCAAAGTGCTGGGATTACAGGCGTGAGCCACCACGCTTGGCCTTATAAGACTTTTTAGAGCGCAAGTTACTTTGTTTGTTCTGAATTTATGGCACTCATTCATAGTATTCTTGAAGTTTTTCTGTGCTGATGTATTTTGTTATATACCCAAATTTTAGAGCCAGAAATGAAACTGCTATCCTAGGCCAGAACTCAGAGATGTATTCAAGAGAGGATTTAGGAAGTCACAGAAGTGTTTTTTTAACCTGCTTTGTGGCTCTGTGTTCTGTTTCTGTACCAAAGCAATTACTTCGCAGTTGTGACAAAGGTAATCCTTTCTATTTGGGGACTATAATTGCATTTTCTCTCTTTTTTTTCCTGAGACCCAGGCTGGTATGCAGTGGCGCAATCATGGCGCACTACAACCTCGACCTCCTGGGCTCAAGTGATCCTCCCACTTCGGCCTGATGAGTAGCTAGAACTACAGGCACACATCACCATGCCCTGCTACTTTTTGTTATTGTTGTAGAGACGGGGTCTCACTGTGTTGCCCACACTGGTTTTAAACTGAGCTTAACTCGGGAGCAGTCCTCCTGCCCCAGCCTCTCAAAGTGCTGGGATTACAGGTGTGAGCTGCCATGCCCAGCCACATTTTCTCTTTCTTTAGGCCAGTTGACCTGATTGGACAAATACAATCTATTGTTTTCTGGCACTAATCAAAGAAGATCTCTAGATTAATTATAACTGAGTTATTCTGGAACTTGGCCTCTGAGAATCACCTTCAAATGTCATTTTGTACTTGGTCTTCTGGTCTTTTTTTATCTTAGAATGTTAGTTGGGGAAGGAACTGGGCTTTGCTTTAATTCTCAAGTTACCTTCTGTTAGGCTTTGAGATTCTGTAGCCGTATCAAATGATACCTCTGCCTGCCCACCTGCCTGCCCATTTCTCTAGTTTTCCCTTCATGTAACTGAATCTCTGAGTCAAACCAGAAAGCTAGATATTTTGGACTTTGAGTCTTGACAGAAGACTCTGTACTAAGAAAAAATTGAGATGTGGCAATGAAATTGCTTATCTCCAACCTTCACTTAGTTGCAGAGCATGTACTTTGTCCCCAAGTTCACAGTTAGCACCAATAAATAAGACCATTAGCTGCCAAGATGGGCAGGTTTCACTACAGGCTGGAGACCTTTCTTTCTATAACAGCCCAAGAGAAAAACTAGTTTCTGCCGGGCGCAGTGGCTCACGCCTGTAATCCCAGCACTTTGGGAGGCCGAGGCGGGTGGATCACGAGGTCAGGAGATCAAGACCATCCTGGCTAACATGGTGAAACACCGTCTCTACTAAAAATACAAAAATATTAGCTGGGCGTGGTGGCAGGCGCCTGTAGTCCCAGCTACTCGGGAGGCTGAGGCAGGAGAATGGAGTGAACCCTGGAGGTGGAGGTTGCAGTGAGCCAAGATCACGCCACTGCATTCCAGCCTGGGCAACAGAGCGAGACTCCGTCTCAAAAAAAAAGAAAAGAAAAACCAGTTTCTAAAAACTGGAAGAGGTCCTCATTGGGGTTTTAGAGAGACTCAGAAGTGTGTTGGCTTTAGGCTGGATGCAGTGGCTCACTCCTGTAATCCTAACACTTTGGGAGACTGAGGCAGGCAGATCACCTGAGGTCAGGAGTTCGAGACCAGCCTGGCCAACATGATGAAACCCTGTCTCTATTAAAAATACAAAAAATTAGCTGGGCATGGTCCTGCGCACCTGTAGTCCCTGCTGCTTGGGAGGCTGAGGCACGTGAATCATCTGAACCTGGAAGGCAGAGGTTGCAGTGAGGGGAGATTGTTCCACTGTACTCCAGCCTGGGCAACAGAATGAGACTGTCTCAAAAAAAAAAAAAAGGAAGGAAGAGTGTTGGCTTGGCTCCTTAGTTCCTTGGTTCTGACCCAATCTTGCCAATTCAGTGAACTTCTATTTTTCCTCATGTCCAGGATGGCCCAGATGTGTAACCAAGTACACACATCAGTCACGTTACTGTTAGCCTAATGACAGCTGTGAAACAGGGAAAGCTGATGCCTGTGTTTTGGTCAACCCCATTCTCTCCTGGCACTCTCTCAGGTGGTCTCTCAGCCATTTGTCCTCACATTTCTTGTGCCTTGAGGATCACTGATTGCTGATGAACTGTTATCTGACAGTTTGGACTCTGGACTCTAGTGGCAGGAGGGGCCTTCAGGACCTGAGATACAAAGCTCTCCTGGTGAGGTAACAAGTAATGGAATCTGTCTTCCCTCACCCAGATTTTTTGGGATACAGGGGAATTTCAAGAGACGAGAATGTGCATTTGGCAACCACAGAGATAAAATTGTGAAACTGGATCTTCCAAATGGAGCCATTTCACATTTGCTCTTATTTTTGCTTCTTTGGGTTCAAGAAAACTTGCTGTTTAGTAATAAGGTTATATACACAAACTTTTGGCTATGGAGTTGGGCTAATGTCAGTCACCTAGGTAATGGATTTAAACCCAAGGCTATTTTGTTCCTAACTTCCAGGTGAGTGATGAAATGGTAGTGGAACTCATTGAGAAGAATTTGGAGACCCCCTTGTGCAAAAATGGTTTTCTTCTGGATGGCTTCCCTCGGACTGTGAGGCAGGCAGAAATGGTGGGTAGCTTAGTTTTTATATTACCTCTGTATGAGAGCACACTCTTGCCCTTTGTTTTCTCTTAATTCCTTTGAAGGAGATAGGTCTGACCAAGCTCTGGTAACTTAGGTGGGCCACACATTCTTTTACAGCTCGATGACCTCATGGAGAAGCGGAAAGAGAAGCTTGATTCTGTGATTGAATTCAGCATCCCAGACTCTCTGCTGATCCGAAGAATCACAGGAAGGTATTTGTCCCTTGAGGGTCCCTTTTCATGCTTCTCAGAGCTTTGTCAAACTCTGAGAATTGCTCGTGCTTAATCCCAGCCATGAAGCTTAGTGCCATATCCATTTCAACACGGATTGATTTTATTTGGTGACATCCACTGAAGTGGTGAGATGGGATTGGGATGTGGAAAGAAGAGCAAGGGATTTGAAGTCAAACAGCATCTCATTCTTGTCATTTTTTTTTTTTAGACGGAGTCTCACTCTGTCTCCCAGGCTGGAGTGCAGTGGCGCTATCTCGGCTCACTGCAACCTCCGCCTCCTGGGTTCAAGCAATTCTCCTACCTCAACCTCCCAAGTAGCTAGGATTACAGGTGTCTGCCACCAGGGCTGGCTAATTTTTTTGTATTTTAGTAGAGACAGAGTTTCACCATGTTGGCCTGGCTGGTTTTGAACTGACCTCAAGTGATCCACCTGTCTCAGCCTCCCAAAGTGCTAGGATTACAAGCGTGAGCCACTGCTCCCAGCTCTTGTCGCCTTTTTTTTTTAGTTTTTTTTTTGAGACAGACTCACTTTGTCACCCAGGCTGGAGTGCAGTGGCGCAATCTTGGCTCACTGCAACCTCTGCCTCCCGAGTTCAAGTAATTCTCCTGTCTCAGCCTCCCAAGTAACTGAGACTACAGGCATGCGCCACCATGCCCGACTAATTTTTGTACTTTTAGTAGAGACAGGGCTTCACCATGTTGGCCATGCTGGTCTCAAAACTTCTGACCTTAAGAGATCCACCCGCCTTGGCCTCCCAAAGTGCTGGGATTACAGACGTGAACCACTGCACCCCCCCTCTTGTCACTTTTTAACTGTGACCCTAGGCACATATCTTAACCTGTCTGAGGCTGTTTCCTCATCTGTAGAAGGGGGTTGATAACACCTGCTTTGAGGAGCTATTGCACGTGTTAGGTAATATGAAATGCATAGTTCAAAGCCTTGCCTATATTAGGTGCTTAAGAAATGTTAATTTCTTTACATGTGTATCTCCTCCATTTTAGTGCTCCTTAAATCTGATTTCAGCTGGAGTTGCCATACTTTGCTGGCTTTTTATTAATTATAAAAATCATATAACCATCTGTACAAAGTTTAGAAAATGGAGGAAGAATTTGCTTATAGTACAGCCACTTTGTGTGTGTGTGTGTGTGTGTGTGTTTTAACATGTTTGTTTCTCTATAATAGCATTGAACACAGAAATGCCTCTGCTTCTGGATTCGTTTGTTCTGACAGACCAACACTGCTTTAGGCTACGGTTTTCTTTACCCTATTTCACTAATCACTGCAGTCTGCTTTGTGCCTTCCATAAGTATGTCAGAAGCTTTCAACTGCAAATGGACCCTCCATTCCCCTCTTTATCATGGGCTGTAGCTTTTTTATGTCCTTGTCATTTTAATGGTGTCTCAGGAAAGTGGTCAGCCCACCATCTTAAACCAGGCATCCATGACCATTACTTTTAATTGCTGTGTGATATTTCACAGTAGGCAAAACATTGTTAATTTCCTTATTGTTGTATATTTGTGTTTCTTCCAGTTAGCCACTGTTAAAATGATACTATGGCCATCATAATGCATGTAAATTTTTGGATTAGGGAAAAAATGTTTTCTTATTTCAGACGTTATTACTTTGATTTCCTAATGAGGTTGAATGTCTTTTCCATGTGTTTGTAGTCCACACCTTCAAGGACAGAGACAAACATGTGAATAGACAGTACAAGGTTAGCACTATTATCCTGGAAAGCAATATGAAATACAGTGGGCTCTACTTTGTATTCATTTTCTTTTCAAATGTCCAGGTTACATGTCTCTGGCTATTCCATAGGCTCCTTTAATGCAGGAACTTCTGTTTCTTTGTATCCCTATTGGGCACACAGTAGACAAAGTTGATGTAGGTCAAGAAGCAGTAGGGTTAACAGTAAAGACATCACTAGGCCTGGGGTCTCTGAGGCACCAAGCACATATTAGCAGAACCAGGTGACACTGGGGACCTTTGATTCTATGGGCCCAGCTTCCTGTGTACCTGCTTCCTGCATAGCACAGTACTAGACCCTGGGAGCAGAGGACCACAAGAGGCTCTAGGATAACCATATAGTGATGCCCATCTCTGACCTCAGAGAGTCGTGTATGAAACTTTGGCTGTTCAGTGTAGTAGGAAGTCCAAGAAGAAAGCCTAGGGACAGGGAGGAAAGGCTGCCTGGGATAGAGATAACATCAAACTCTTCCTGGATGAAGAGTATTTCAGTGAGACTTTCCCAGAAGGGAGTAGAAGGTAGAATGAGTATGGGTTAGGCTTTCGCTGAGGCTAGTAGCAGATGTGTCTGCCCAGTGGCCTTGGGGGCAGGATGGTAGAAGGAATGCTGTTGAGAAGAGCTTTACTGGGGAGATCTGCCAAACCAAAGAGGGTAGACTTGATGGAGTTCAGGACTCATGAGATATTCTCGAGCCACTGGGTGTTGTGGCAAAAACAGTATTCTAAGAACATTAGCTTGGTCCTGGCGTACAAGGTAAATTAGGGCAAGGATAAACAGATAGGGATACCATCTAGGAGCCTGTTTATGATCCACATGATGTGATGGAGGTTTCTAACTGAGGTTGGGTGGGAGAGAACAGAGAAATTCTGAAGAACAAACAGCAGGGTTGCTGTAAAGGGTGAAAGAGAGAAGACTCAGTCCCTCCATTTGGAAGTAGGTAGTTACTGTAACTTCCTCCCTCACGGAGAGAAGGACCTCCTTCCTCACAGAGCATGTCACTGCTGAAGGTGTTTTTCCAAGTTTACCCAGCAGATGAGTGGCAGGGTTAGCCCTGGAAGCCTGCTTTCTGCCTCCTAGTCAAACATGTTGATGGTTAGAAGAAAATGAGGCAGGAATTAGTCAGTTTAATACAGATCTTGTTTTTGTTTTTTGATTTTTGTTTTTGTTGTTGTTGTTGTTTGTTTGTTTTAAGACAGAGTCTCACTCTGTTGCCCAGGTTGGACACAGATGTTAGCTGTTTGGAATGCTGGGGAATGAACCCCAGACCTCACACAGGATCTTTTTCAAGTCTGAGATGATACGGACCCCATTGTAACAATTTTCTGAATTAGTTCTGACCTCACTTCTAGTAATTTTGAGTCATTGTTCTATTTCTTGAATATGAATAGTTGGTGGTTGTTCTTTTGTTTTTGTTTTTGTTTTTAAACTTATTCTATATTGTCTCTCTCATATCCTAATTATCCTACCAGTTGGCTCTCTGGTATTATCTTAATACCTGGTACCATCCCAATTTTGTGGATGAGAAAACAGGTATTTAAAGTGTCACACTGAATGTTGGGCACAGTGGTTCATGCCCGTGATCACAGCATTTGGGGGGTGCCTAAACAGGAGGATTACTTGAGGCCAGGAATTTGAGACCAGCTTGAGCAATATAGCAAGACCTCGTCTCTACTATAAAGCAAAAAAAAGTTAGCCAAGTGTGGTGGTATGCACCTGTGTTGGTGGTCCCAACTACTTGGGAGGCTGAGGTGGGAGGACTGCTTGAGCTAGGAAGGTCGAGGCTGCACTGAGCCGTGATTAGGCCATTGGACTCCAGCCTGGGTGACAGAGCAAAACTATCTCAAAAAAAAAATAAATAAAGTATTATACTCACAGTAGCAGTGATTGTAGATTCCCAGCCCTGATGGTACCGCCGAGCCAGACTCAGTGGCCCATGGAGCTATTTTGGTTGGTACTTGAGACCAATCCCATTTTGAGAACTTGGAGAGTGGGGTTTCTTTCATTTACCAAAAGTGGTATTTGTGAATGGCAAAAGAGCAGTGTGTGGGAGTCATATTTGTTGCAGCCTGGCTGCTATGTGCCCTGTGCTCTCTAGAAGGTAAAAAAATATCCTGGTCCACATCTCATGCCCCTAGCCCTTCCCAAAGTTGCTGCTGCTGAGCCTAGCAGTCTGCTCTCTCCTCTCCCTGGGTCTCCCAGTGGATGCCATTTCTGAATGAATGCGTCAGAGGAATCCTTCCAGGCACTCAAATACTGGAAAGTGCAACCTCACAGTACATGACTGCAGTCACAGGAACCTTTTCTCCATTGTCCAGTTGGCCTTCCATATCCATGGATTCAAGCATTTGTGAATTAAAAATATTCAGAACCAGACTGGGTGCGGTGGCTCACACCTGTAATCCCAGCACTTTGGGAGGCCAAGGCGGGTGGATCACGAGGTCAGGAGATCGAGACCATCCTGGCTAACACGGTGAAACCCTGTCGCTACTAAAAATACAAAAAATTAGGTGGGCGTGGTGGCAGGTGCCTGTAGTCCCAGCTACTCAGGAGGCTGAGGCAGGAGGATGTCATGAACCTGGGAGGTGGAGCTTGCAGTGAGCTGAGATGGCACCACTGCACTCCAGCCTGGGCGACAGAGTGAGATTCCGTCTCAAAAAAAAAAAATTCAGAACGTAACCACCAATAAATATAACGTGGGAAAGCTGAAGAAAATAAAAAATAATACAAGTTTTAAAATGCAGTATAGCAATTATTTACATGGAATTTACATTGTATTAGGTATAAATAATCTAGAGATGATTTAAAGTATGCAGGACAACCAGCGTGGGCAACATGATGAGACCTCATCTCTACAAAAAATTAAAAAATTAGACTGGGCGTGGTGGCTCACGCCTGTAATCCTAACACTTTCGTAGGCCGAGGTGGGTAGATCACGAGGTCAGGAGTTCGAGACCAGCCTGGCTAACATGGTGAAACCCTGTCTCTACTAAATATACAAAAAATTAGCCAGGCTTGGTGGTGGGCGCCTGTAGTCCCAGCTACTTGGGAGGCTGAGGCAGGAGAATGGCGTGAACCCGGGAGGCGAAACTTGCAGTGAGCAGAGACCGCACCACTGTACTCCAGCCTGGGTGACAGAGCGAGAGTCTGTCTCAAAAATAAAATAGAAATAAAATAAATAAAGTACACAGGAGGATATGCATAGGTTATATGGAAATGCTGTACCATTTTATATCAGGGACTTGAGCATCTGTGGATTTTGGTATCCACAGAGGGGACTCCTGGAACAATCCCCCCGTGGATACCAAGGGATGACTGTATAGCTTATTTTCTCTACTGTCACCTCCCTCCTGCCCATAATCCAGTGCCACTTTATGCCATAAATGGACCATCTTGTCCCCCAAAATATGCTGTGGTTAACATAAAAGAAAGTAGCACATTTTACAGAGGTGCTACTTCAATAACCTAAATAGAATTGAATAGATTTTTTATTTATTTATTTATTTTATTTTTTTGAAACAAAGTCTTGCTCTGTCACTCAGGCTGGAGTGCAATGGTGTGATCTCGGTTCACTGCCACCTCCACCCCCAGGTTCAAGCGATCCTCCTGCCTCAGCATCCCAAGTAGCTGGGATTACAGGTGCCTGCCACCCTGCTAAATTTTTCATATTTTTAGTAGAAACGGAGTTTCACCATGTTGGTCAGACTGGTCTCAAACTCCTGACCTCAGGTGATCTGCCCCCCTTGGCCTCCCAAAGTGTTGGCATCACAGGCATAAGCTGCTGGGCCCAGCCCAAATATTGCTATGCCTGCCAAATGGTGAAAAATATTAGGGAGCTCTAGTCTAATAGACCTTCATGAGAAGAGCAACCATTAGTTAAATGAGCAAACAAACACTTGGTTGGCACAGAATTGAGAAACCACAGAACTGAAGCAAAGCCTGGCTGCTGAGCAGAGCTTGGCCTGCCTCCTTTCCTTAGGTTGCTAGGCTCCTGTGGTGTGGCCATTCCCAGTCAGGAACATGGGCTTGTTGCCTGTGGGGACTCAGCAGAGATGCAGCTACCTGCTATACATTCAGTGCCAAATAAATGCCTTTTATTGAACTCTATATTCCATAACTTGTTTAATAAGTCATTTTTCCTGATGACTTGAATATTGCTAACCCTGGGTTAGGGTTAGCAGCCAGGCACATAGCAGCCAGGCTGCAATAAATATGACTCCCACACACTGCTCTTTTGCCATTCACAAATACCACTTTTGGTAAATGAAAGAAACCCCACTCTCCAAGTTCTCAAAATGGGATTGGTCTCAAATACCAACCAAAATTCAAGTCATCAGGGTTAGCCTATCTTTTATCTGTGTGATCGAAAAGATGTGTTGCATTATCTGGCAGTGTTTGCATCCATGGGAATTATTTTTCCTGTTAGTACCTTCCTGGTTTTGTAACCAAACTAGGTTAGGAAATAGAGTTCATTTGTTTGTCCTCTGTCCCCCATAGCACTTTGTACAAATCTGTTAAAGGATTATCACGTTTGTTATTTATTTCCACATTTGTCTCTCCCACTAAGCACTACTTGTGAACAGGGATCATTACTCATTGCTTTGTAGCCTCTGAATTCAGCTTAAGGCTTGAGTGGGATACTTTTTAATGTTTGTCGAGTAAATGGGTGAATAAATAGAATAGATGGCTGTGTGAGACCAGCACCAGAGTTCCTTCTCTCAAGTCCTGAATTAGGTAGTTATGCCAGCCCGTTTGCTCTTCAACCAGATACTCATGATAATGTTTGGTCAAAATAGAAAATATACTCTGCCACTGGCATAAGCTCTCCTGAAAGCCCAGTTATTTAGCTGGATTTTCTGTTGGGTGCTGGGTCCTTGCATCCAGGGTCCCTGTCTCTGCTTGTCATTCCGGAGCCCCCTAGAGTGGAGTGCAGGCACGTACTATCAGTTAACCTAACTCATATTCATTTGCTGTCTTTCAGGCTGATTCACCCCAAGAGTGGCCGTTCCTACCATGAGGAGTTCAACCCTCCAAAAGAGCCCATGAAAGATGACGTATGTAAACTCAGACAAAAAATTTCCTTTTCTTTCCTTCCCCTTTCTTCACTGTTTTCTTTTTCCTTTATTCGTTCCATCTTCCTTTTATTTCTACCAATATTGCTAACTTAGTCATGAAAAATAACACTATCAAGTAAATCATGGCCTGTGTCAGATCTGTTCAGTGTCTCCTTAGGTGGTTTATTGCTTGGCCTCAAGGTTGCTACCAGTGGTGCCAGCTTTTTGCAGTGCCCAGATTGTACCTGTCTTCTGTCAAGAGCAGCCCCTTTCTGGCATCATGGCCACCTAAGTGATCAGCTAATCAGGAGAAGGTTTCTTAAAAGCCTAGAATTGGAGAGTGGGAAGAGTGTGGCACTGAAGAGAAGTTTGATGACCAGTCCTCCAGAAAAATATTCTCTTTTTATAGTTGCTGCGGCTGTACTGTGTCCTGGGGTTTCATACATGGTCACTGCACCATTTGCCATAAAGAGTCTATATGGTCTGTTTTAAAGCATGCAGACAACAGTAAGAATTTCCTGGGTTTACCTTCGTCCTATGAAACAAGTTCATTAGGTCATCCAGGTTCTATAAATACAGGTTCCAGAGCCGTTATGGCAACATAGTCACATTTTGCAAAGCTGCTAATTCTACCATTCAAAGTTCTTTCTCATTTTACTTGCCACTTTTAAAATGTTGATGGGTGACACTCTAGTACATATGCTAAATATTTAAGCAACTAAGATTACAACTGCTAATGTATCTTTGATTTTGATGTATTCTCCTGGTCTTAGGGGCCTTTGACTTCCTTTACTTTTGACCCTAGAAGTGTTTATCTTGGAAGCTGGATCACCTGAGCACAAAGATGAGAAAGTCATTGCCTATCTTTCCCTCATGAGCCCCTTTCCTCACAGTTGGTGTTTCTGACAAACTCTCTGACTTCTGTTCACCAGCTGCTCTGCTCCTGGGAGTAGCAAGTTCTTCATTGGAGAGGGTCTGGATTGCCTGTCTTTGCTTCTGATGGGCTTTGGGAACAGACAGCATCCTGGGCAGAATGGTCCCATCTCAAATCTGCATCTGGCATGGAATAAGAAAACCTTGCTAACAGTCCCAGCCTTTCATTGCTGTCTTCCTATTCTCAGATCACTGGGGAACCCTTGATTCGTCGATCAGATGATAATGAGAAGGCCTTGAAAATCCGCCTGCAAGCTTACCACACTCAAACCACCCCGCTCATAGAGTACTACAGGAAACGGGGGATCCACTCTGCTATTGATGCATCCCAGACCCCTGATGTTGTGTTCGCAAGCATCCTAGCAGCCTTCTCCAAAGCCACATGTAAAGACTTGGTTATGTTTATCTAATGTTGGGTCCAAGAAGGAATTTCTTCCTATCTCTGTGAGGGAATGGGTGGGAATGATAGGACAGGCAAAGAGAAGCTTCCTCAGGCTAGCAAAAATATCATTTGATGTATTGATTAAAAAAGCACTTGCTTGATTTACCTTTGGCGTGTGTGCTACTCTCATCTCATCTGTGTGTATGTGTGTTGTGTGTGTGTGTGTACATATGTGTTCACTCTCCTACTTTCTAAGTTTTAGGCTAGGTTGCTTTACCAACTGTTTACTTCTTTTTTGTTGTTGTTTTGAGACAGGGTTTCACTCTGCCACCCAGGCTGGAGTGCAGTGGCGTGATCTTGGTTCACAGCAACCTCTGCCTCCTGGGGCTCAAGCAATTCTCCCGCCTCAGCCTCCTGAGCAGCTGGGACTACAGGTGCACGCCATAACACCTGGCTAATTTTTGTACTTTTTGCAGAGACAGGGTTTTGCCAAGTTGCCAAGGCTGGTCTTGAACTCCTGGGCTTAAGCAATCCACCCACCTTGGCCTCCCAAAGTGCCAGGATCACAGATGTGAGCCATCACATCCGGCCCAGCTGTTTACTTTAACCATACTTTTGATTTTATTTTTTGACCAAAATAAACTAACCCAGGTAATCTTCCAGGGGCCACAATTCCAAAACCTCATAGTATTTCTTCCATTTCCAGCAGCTGATTAGAAGTCCAGGATCATGTGAAGTCAGGCAGGGTCTCAGTTCCTGATGGTACATTATGGACAGAGAATTCCATTTGTTTTCTAACCCATAATGAAAACCCACATGAGTCAACATGCGAACAGGGATCATTAATTTTTTTCCCCTTAGGTGGAAGGGAAAAGGCGCTTACATTGCAGGTTATAGAAATTACTGGGAGACGTCATAAAAAGAGCCAGGCCAAATTAGAATGTTTTTGTGATCTGCATCATGATGCTGAAAAGTAGCGATTATTTGGGAATTGGGTTTGAAAACTGAATTGTTGCCAGAGAATTAAACCAGGTGAAAGGTCCTTTTGAATTCAGATTGTCTTCTGAACATGGAGGCTGAGCATCTGAGAGCAGTCAAATCTACTTCCCCAAAGAGAGACCAGGGTAGGTTTATTTGCTTTTATTTTTAATGTTTGCCTCTGTTTCCAAGTGTCAACAAAACAGTGTGTGATCTATTCTTGGATTTATTTTGATCAGTATTTACTCAAACCCAGTCTCTCTCCAGGACGTAAAACTGAAATCAGATATGTTCTTTTTAAGCCCAAACCCTCTGCCTTCTAGATCCAATCCTTCACCCCTAATTTTATGATGGCTATAGCCATGGACTTCCCCAAGAAAAGATCACCCGGAAATAAGACCACCTGTGACAGTAACCAGCTTTTATTCATAACCTTAGCTTCCCAACTATTGAGCATTTTCTAAGTTCCCTGCTATGTCTTTTGGTCTCTGGTTTGATTTGTGGCAAACAGATGAAGTAACAGACTACTATGAAGGACCACAAAAACAGCAGCCTCTGGAAAAACCATTAGAAAGTCAGTGGCAGATCCAGTAAATAATGTCGCCTGCCTCAGCATAATCTGCTGCTGACTCAATTTAGTGGGCTCTAAAGTGCCCAGCCTCCTTCTGACCTGAGCTCTCCTGCCATCTGTGAGACTACCAGAGGTCTTATCTGCCGTCCACATGGCAACTGGGCATGAGTACGTGGCCACCTTGCTTCCCTCTTTGCCTGGTCCAAGTGAATGTCTGCTGCCTCTATCCTGCCTTGTCTTCCTGGCTCTAAACTAACTCCACCTACTCTTAATGGAAACTCAGTCTGGCTTTGTGTGTTTCTGGGAAGCACATGACTTCTGGGAATGGGCAAGGAAGAGGAGTGAAACAAAAACTGTCAGCGATGTGTGCCTGGCCTGGGATCCTTCTCTGGGTGACAGTGGCATCATGAATCTTGGAATCAGCTCCCCTTGAACTAGGGACAATTGTAAGCACTTGGCCTCAAAGTTGAGGTCCCTGAATGTTTGCTAATTGAATATGCATGATCCTTGCCCAAATATTTGTCATCCATCCACATAGATTCATGTGTGCATACAACATGTGCAAGTAATATTTGGGCTGCCCATGAGAACTAGAAGATTCATAGGGAATGCATATACCCTTGTCAGAATGGTTAGAATTCTGTTTTTGCTTTGTTTAATTCCAGAGTCTTAGCCTCAGCAGGTTCTGCTTTTACCTGTCAGAGAAATGTCCAGTGTTTAATGCATTTGGTTGCTGGGGCTTACATGCCAGCCTCCTTTGATATGTACTTGGTTTTTAAAAACCCATTTTGTTCTCTCTTGTTTCCTCTCTATTTCAGCCTAGTATCAGAAGGCCAGGCGAGACTACACCACTGCTCATCACCCTGCGGCGTGATCCCTGCTCTTAGGTGCTGGGCAGAAGGGAAGGGTGGTCAGGGTGAGGATGGTGAGGGAGGGCTGGTGAGGGGCTCAAAGGAATAGTTGGAACAACAGCAGTGTTATTGTAGTGTGGCAGTTTCTTTTATACATAGGTGGGAGTTTTTAAAGTGTAAGGGAAAAATTAATTTTTTAAAAAATACCATGCTTGGAGGGTGGGGGTAGAAATAGAGAGATACAGTATTATTTCTAAGGAATCGGGTTTTCATTTACTCTGGACTGGTGAAAATATTTTTTAAAGCCAGCGCACTAAGACCTCAGCTTTTATCTCAGAACCCCATGGGTTCCAGACCAAGAATACAGGAAATCAAATTGTTGTCCTGTGTGTCTATAGCTTGCAACAGGGAGGCTTTGATTACTGACCCTGGTTCCACACACTGTAAGATCAAAAAACCGTCTCCACATTTGAAAGAGATGTAAGGTGTATTCATAGGGACGGTGGCTCAACAAATCAAGCATACTGGAATCAAGGGGAGGGGGAAGGGAATGGAATGGAAAGGGAGGCTGATTCCCTTCCCCTGACTTACCACTGATTTACTAGGCTACCTACTCTCATGAGTAACCTCTCACAGCTACACAGCACATGCCACAATCCTATGCTCTTGCCTTCTTTTATCTGCAGTGTGTGAAGGGACTCTTTTAAATAAATGAGCAAGTGTCCTAAGCTATGTCATCCAAAGACTGTCCTTTCCATTATCAAATCCTGTGACTGGGATCACTCAACAGCACTGTGATGTATTATTTTCAATGAGGTGCCTTTCTTAACTGACCAAATGCTGCCTTGTTTGGCCCCTAAATCAATAAAATGTTAAAATTTGTATCCCCTGTTGTGGCATTTTTTAAGATAATCTAAGCTAGAAAAATGATACTGAATTCTGGACCTGGCTTGGAAGGAAAAGAAGCCCTTTCTTATGGTCACTGACAGCTGTGTGGTAGGGAGGTCCAAGTATGTGCACATAAGATAAGCTTGCAACCTCTGGACCTTCAGCTCCTATGCAGGCTTTTCTTGAGCCCAGAGACAAGGCAGCTTGGTCTAGTGGAGCTAGCACTGTGCTTGGAGTTTAGGGGACCTAGGACAAATCCCAGCCAGTTAGTTATTCATTCTGCTCCTGTTTCCTCAGCTGAAAAAGGAAATTGGTTATGCCACCTTCTTGGCCTTAATGGCATTAAATGAAATTTATAGGAAGAAGGTTTTTGCTCAGTACCTGGCACGCAACAGACAATGGATAAATGTTAGTTGGATCCAGATATACACAGAAAAATACCTGCTTCCTGCCAGACTGGATAATTGTTGAATGGGCACTTGTCCATAGTCTAGAAAGCCAGTGCTTCTAATCCCTAAGCCAGATCTTTGACTACCTTTTCAGTTGCTTCTTTAGCACTCTTTGTTGCTTCTCTGTGTGTCCTAGTTTAAATTCATTTCCTCTCCAGCAAAAGTGAGCTTAAATCATTTGTCCAAACTAAAGCTCTTATGCTTTTGGAAGGGCTGCCTTTGCAAGTGAGTTTTCCGAGAAATGACTGTTGTTCCCAAAACAAGAGGGAGCTGGCTGGAAGCACCACTATTCTCCTTTAGGCATCTTGTTACAGAGAGAGGCAGGATCTTCACTGACATATTAAATCCTGTTCCCTGAACCAGCCCCTCCTTCTTCTGCTCCACTTCCTCACCTCTGCAGAGTCACTTTCAGGTGTCAACCTTACTGATTTGCACTGATCTGTTTGTTCCCTGAGCTTTTTAAATGCCCTATGAAAATTTTCTTTCCTCCGTCGGTCATCATGCATCTAATTGCGGGGAAATGTTTGTCAAACCAGCCTGCGAAGCAGCATGGTGTAGTGAGAAGAATAAACAGAGAAGACTGGGTGAGCTATTGTTTGTTTGCTTCTTTGGGCCTGGGTTTCCTCTTCCAATCTGCAAACCAAGAATGCAGACTAGTCCTACCACTCCCAGAAGACTGACGTTATGCCAGGTACTATGCAAAGGCTTCATGTAACCCTCGACTTCAGGTAACCCTCACACAGTACCCTGTGGAGTCAGAACTGTCCTTCACTTTTATAGGTGAGGAAACCAGACTCAGAGAGGTGAAGTGGCATTCCTGAGGTCATGCATAAGAGGCAGTCAGGACTGAAACACAGTCTCTAACACTTATCTGTCCCCTTGACCTTGTTGCTGAAGTGATTTAATTATTTGCATAGCTCTGCAGACAGGAAGGGCTTCTCTGAATAAGAGCTCTTTTCCATGGACACTCAGCACTGCCAGAACTGATTTTAAAGAAGTCACTGCCGGCTCTGAGGGCCTAGGGTATGTGTCTTAGGATCTCCTGTGTGCACAAAGTGTCACTGATAGAACACAGCAGGATGGAAAGCAGCCTCTTCAGAAGCCTCACAAGTCTTTCCTCAGATAAAGACAGAGCGAGTCAGAAGACAGATTTCAACAGCAACTTCACCATGCGAACTTGGGCAAGTTATCTCACCTCATCAGTAGAATGGGAATGATCCCTACCCCTCAAAGGTGCTGATGACACTAGTGACCAAGATACTCATGTGGGTTGGACTGCCCAGGACACAGCAGATGCTTGGTAAACACAGATGGAATTCAGAGGGAAAATGTAGGCATTGATGAAAGTTGTCTTACTGACCATCTGGAACCAGGCTAAGGATCGCCTAGAAATCAAACCTCTGACATTATATGCAGAATTCTTTATGTGTTTTCATAATTAATAATAGTCTAACGTATTAAATGTTTAACTGTGTGGGAGGTTCTGCATGCATTATCTCATTTATTCTTCTCAATAACCCCATGGAGGTAAGTACTGCTATTATCTTTATGTCTGTGGACTCTGAGGTTCAGACATCTGATAATGGCAGAACCAGAGCATGAGCCCAAGTCTGGCTCCACACCCCAACCTCTTACCACTGTACCAATTGCTTTGACACTTTGCTGGGGAGAGAGGAAATGATCTCAAAGACACTCATGATACAGAAAAGGCTATGAGCCATGGATCTAAACAAAAGGAGAAACTCGAGTAGGTTTGCTGTGTTACAGTGAAGGACCTGCCACAGGTAAGAAGACCTTTTTCTATTTTGTCATCCTCTGTTGTTTCCTTATTTTTGGTACTCAAGCTCCAATGTGCTGGATTTGCATAGCTCCTAGAATCACCCATATTCCAGAAAGGCCGGAGGGGCGAGTTATGTTGGGGGAAAGGAGCTGGTTCCCATCCCCTGTCCTCCACGACTGTCTCCTGGTTTTGGAAAAGGTGGCCAGGGGAGGGTGTGTATGCAGGCTCTTGAGGCACAGGCAGCTCTCTCAGACTACAGCTCTGTGTGGCTGATGGTGTTGCATTATTCATAACTCCAGAGGGAGCAGTGTGCTTCTGATGTCTTGGGAATGCAGCAGCTCTGTCTTTAGAGTCATCCATGGCAGTGTGATGATGAGCTGCTCTCACAGAGGGCCCCTTCCAGGTACCCAGTCCAGATTGAGGTGCCCCCAGCAGAAAGCAGGTGGGAATGGAAAGACAAAGTATCAAAGGGCAAGACAACATGGGTCTAGATCCTGTGCAGATAGTCCTCAAGCCAATAAGCCAAACAGATCTGCACTTTGGGGGTAAAGTTGCTATGGAGCAAATAATTTGATTGTGTGGTGTTCTGTAAGGGTTTTCCAGGCAAATTCCTCTGAGCTTAGCTAGGAGTTCATTATGCTTCCTGTTTAGCTGGTCTTCTTTCTTCTACTAGATAAGAAATGCTTCATTTTTGGCCGGGCGCGGTGGCTCAAGCCTGTAATCCCAGCACTTTGGGAGGCCGAGACGGGCGGATCACGAGGTCAGGAGATCGAGACCATCCTGGCTAACACGGTGAAACCCCGTCTCTACTAAAAAAATACAAAAAATTAGCCGGGCGTGGTGGCGGTGCCTGTAGTCCCAGCTACTTGGGAGGCTGAGGCAGGAGAATGGCGTGAACCCGGGAGGCGGAGCTTGCAGTGAGGTGAGATCCGGCCACTGCACTCCAGCCCGGGCGACAGAGCAAGACTCCGTCTCAAAAAAAAAACAAAAACAAAAACAAAAACAAGAAATGCTTCATTTTTGGCCGAGCACAGTAGCTCATGCCTGTAATCCCAGCACTTTGGGAGGCTGGGGTATGTGGATCACAAGGTCAGGAGTTTGAGACCACCCTGGCCAACATGGTGAAACCCTGTCTCTACTAAATATACAAAAAAAAATCAGCTGGGCGTGGTGGCATGCACCTGTAATAGCAACTATTCGGGAGTTTGAGGCAGGAGAATTGCTTGAACCCGGGAGGCGTAGGTTGCAGTGAGCTGAGATTGCACCATTGCACTCCATCCTAGGCGACAGAGTGAGACTCCGTCTCAAAAAAAAAAAAGAAATGCTTCAGTTTCTACTGTTTTCCTTCTTGCCCTGGCTGTGAGGAAACTCAAAACTACGTCTTGTGTTCAGTTGTTAATCATTCCTCAGCCATGGTTTCTTAATGAAATTCCAACGCCAGCCCAATCTTAGTTCTGTGTTTAGCATTTTTGTACTCATGTGTGTTGTAAACTGCCTTGAGTCTATTTTGGAAGAGAAGCAGAGTGTAAAGGAAGGGCTAGTTATGCAGTGCAGGAGGTCAGACTGCAGAGAAGAAGGTAGCTTTGTGAAGGAGGTGGGATCTTGGTGACTCCATGCAGAGGGTGGCAGCATTCCAGCTGAGGGCACAGCACAAGGGAAGGTACAGCGGCCACTGGTGCTCTGGGCTGCTTTAATGTCAAGCGGGGGTCTCAAGCAGGGGTCCCCAACTCCCAGGCCACGACTACCACCATCAGGAGGTGAGCGACAGGCAAGTGAGCATTACCGCCTGAGCTCCACCTCCTGTCAGATCAGCAGTGGCATTAGATTCTCATAGAAGCACAAACCCTATTGTGAACTGTGCATGTGAGGAATGTAGGTTGCCTGCTCCTTGTGAGAATCTAATTAATGCCTGATTATCTGAGGTGGAACAGTTTCATCCTGGTCTGTGGAAAAATTGTCTTCCATGAAACTAATCCCTGGTGCCAAAAATGTTGGGGACTGCTGACCTAGAGAACCCCTACCAGAGTTCTTGGGAAATCTGTATCTGGTTAGAGATAAGTTTTCAAAAAAAGCACAGTGACCGTAGAAGGGAAGCTTTTCAACTCATGAATAATGTCAAGAATGCAGAAGAGCAAAAGACAAGGATATGTACATAGAGATTTGATGGGCCGCTTTAAGCTCAGCCCATGTGCCACTCTTCCTCCCTCCCCTAAACACACCACAGTCTGTGCTTTGACCATGAATCAGGCAATCCTTTGCTGTGGGGCTGAAGTGGGGGAAGTGCCTCAGTTTTACTGTCAGCTCTCTTTTTCAGTCATGTGTCTAGTGGTGTGGGCATGAGTTCTGGGGATGACAAAGATGGTCTGTGGTTAGATCTTGGCCCTGACAGTAGCTTACTGTGTGCCTTGAGGGAGACACTTAACCTGTAAGCCTCAATGAACTCATCTGTAAAATGAGGGTCATAGCACTCATCTAGAAGAGTGGTGAAGTTCATATGAATTGAGAAATAGCAGCTACCCAATAAAGGATCCTTTCTATGTCGTTTCCCAAGGCCATTTGCTGAGGAAAAAAGGACCTTACCATGGCTACCAGCTATTTCAGAATAGGTATCTTTACCCATTCCTATTCCTCAGTGGCACCTCATCCCCCTGGAATTCTGTACCAAACCCGAACAGGTTGCTTTTCACTGGGGTGTTTCCTGAGCTACCAAATGTGCCCCTGAGTGGAGATGGGAATCAGTGTTATCTTCCCCAGGGATGCTGATTCTACTCCAGGCTGGCAGGAGACATTGTGGTCCTGACACGGCAGCCAACCAGATAGTGATGGTCTTGTCACCCGCAAAGCTTACTGAGAGTAGGACATTCTGTAGTTGAAGATGAGGGGCACATCTTCAACTGCTGAAACCATACCTTGGCCTAGCTGTACCTGCTCCTATCTTGAGGCCAAAATAGGAGGGAGCACAAAGATCATGATGGGGTACATGTTCAACACCAGTGAGGTGCTGGAGTGGGCCGAGAGAGTCTTCAGTGAGAATATGTTGGCTCATGTTTTGGAAATTTTTGAAAATTGTCCTGTGGTAAGGGAATGAGAACAGTGCCTCTCTCTTCGTGCTGTTGACAGGATGAGTTCATGTCTATCAGGTGTTTTAGAACAGTGATGCCCATAGTGCTCAGTAAGTGTTTCCTAGCTAGCAGCTCTGGCTCAGCAATTCCAGTTTATACATGTACCCCAAGGAAATGACTAAGTATGTGCAGAAAGCATTCTTTATAATAGGGTTAGAATTGGAAACAACCTAAATTTCCAACAAAAGGGGAGATTGGCTGATTCATTCATGGGATGGAATCATATGTGATCACGAAATAAGTCATTTTAAGACAGAAAGATTTTATGATAAATGTATTAAGTGAATAAACAAAGGTTTTAAAACAATACAGAATGGAATTTGCTTTTTTTTTTTTTTTTCCCCTCGTGGAGACAGGATCTCCATATGTTGTCCAGGCTGGTCTTGTGCACCACCATGTCTGGGTAAAGAATGGATCTATTTTTTAAAGGAAACATTGTATTTTGGAGTAATTTTAAGTTTATAGAAAGGTTCTAAAAATAGTATAGAGAGTTTCTGTATATACTTCACCTAGTTTCCCCTAATGTTAACATTTTACTTGAGTATGGTACATTTGTCAAAACTAAGAGATTAACATTGGTACATTACTCGACTGACAGTATTTGGTTTTCTCTAGCTTTTCCACTAATGTCTTTTCCATCCAGGCTCCATTGCATTTGGTATTTTTTTTTTTTTTAATTTAAAAGT